GCATTATTTGCTGTACTCATCTGACCTTGCACCTTCAGATTACCACTTATTTCAATCTCTACAAAATTCTCTTAATGGGAAGAACTTCAATTCTCTGGAAGCCTGTAAAAAATCATTTGGACTAGTTCTTCACTGATGCCAAGTTCTGGGAGGATGGAATTAAAGATGCCCAAACAAAATGGCACATGTATCTGTCTATATTTCTGAGATGAGGTATTATGTACACTATTTACATTATTCAGACTATTGTCCCCATCTTTGTTGCCATATTTATCACAACGTTTCCAACATTGTACACTTCTTCAGGTGGTTGGAATGTCAAACTGAACCCTTTATTTTGCTTGCTGGGGTTCCATATCTAATGAATATCAGTTATCTCCTGTTAATTCCAAGTTCTCCACTGCCTTAACCAGGTATTGAACTCACAACTCTTTGGGTCCTGTCACTGAATCTAACCAATGCCTTTATTCACTGTGCCATGTGTCCTTAAGGACATCTGTGGATGGATTTCTGGGACTTATAAACTTAATGTCTTCAGCAACCATTTTTACCAGTGCTCATATTGCAATTTTTGCTGTTATCATTTTATGTTTTTTACCAGAGCTCATATTTAATTTTCATTGTTATTATTGTTTTCTCTGGCACTCCTTATTACTGGTTCCCATACTGTATTCATTTCTATGCTTGGTCAACTCAGGAGATTTTTGTGGATATGTGCAGTATATGAATTGGTTCAAGTACTTTTGATAAATACTTAATCTGTACATTCACATGTATAGAATTTTTTTTTTTTTAGAACAATGTTCATCCTGCACAAGACCCAAGAGTCACTCAAGGTAGAGAGTTACATATAAAGAGGTAGAGTTTATGGAGATATGAGAAGAATATAATGGTTAACCCTAACCTTAAACAGGTTAAGATTGTAGTGATCGAAGAAGCATCCTCTTGGGAGTTGGTTCCACAAAGCAGCAGTTCATGGAAAGAAGCTACTCCAATGGAACTTAATCTCATCAATGGAATACAAAGGGAATGAGGGTGGTTTGCATAGCATGATGGGTCTTAGCCATGAAGGTTAGAACTGGTGGAACTAAGGAATGTTGTTTGTCTGAACACTTTTCATGGAAATAGTGATAGAACTTCGAAAGGGTTTCAAAGTTTTGTTTGTGAGAAAGGGGTTGTAAGGTGGAAAATAATTTGTCACCTATAAGGACATGGAGATGCTTTTGGAGTCTATCAAAAGTGGAAAGTGAAAATTGGGCAGCATGCCAGCAATATTCCATTTCCAGTTTATCTGTTTTTTTTTTTTTTTTTGTAAAGGCAGAGGATAGCAGTAGGAATCAGGTATTGAAGTAGTACCTTTTCCAGCATCTTTAGTGATTCCACTTGAGGTCTGGTTTGAGTTTCCCAATAGATAATTAAAGTATGGAGCTTCCCTGCGGAAACATCTGTTTATTGTGATAGGTGTAAAGATTCACTCAGTAACAGTGGAAAATCACTAGTTTAGTTTTCAAGGCATTGAATGTAACCAGCCAGTTTTCTCTCCTACTGAGCTGTTAGATCTAGGTCAGAAAAGAGATCAGTTGCCAAGCTCTGGTCATCCACAGATTTGGAGGTGCAATATATGATATCCACTTGAAACACACATTGTCACAATTTTTTTTTAATATTTTAGTAAAAAAAAAAAAAATTTTTTTTTTTTTAAAAAAAAAGAAATTACAAAATTTTCTTTGCCAGACACATTCAATTATAATAGATGACTCTATGAAATTCATTTCAAATTACAATATTTTGTTTTCATTTCAAACTATTTAAGTGAAAGATTGTTTTGTTTTGTTTTTTTAAATTATCAATTTTGATACTGAACACCCATAAAAATGATATAACTGAATTTATAGTCCCTTAAAACAGGCATGTCAAACTGAGGGTCAGACACGACAATCAAGTGTGCACATTACAACAAATTGGAGTCATTTAATAAAATTTATTGCAGAATATTTTTGTTACTTAAATTTAGAAACACACAATGTACATACAAATGTTTTAGCAGAATTTGTGTAGACATAGTAATGAAGTATTTTGATGAAAAAAAATTATGACAACAATAACATATACTTGCAGTTTGCAACAACAACAAATACGTTGTACAAAAATTACAGCAGTTCTTTTATTTGCCACTATTCAGTCAGTTTTAGTTTTTTGTCCTGAGGCTTGACATCACTTTTTGCTGACAATTTTCAGTATGTCTGGCTGAAATGTCTGTGCAGTTCCGACTTTGATCAGAAGTGACAAATGTTGATCAGTTAGCCTTGTTTTCTCAGAAAGTTTTGTAGATTTCATGAAGGAAAACAACTATTTACACACATACACTACAGTTCAAAAGTTTGAGGCGATCCCTGGTAATTTTTTTAAAATTGGCCCCAAAAGAAGTTGTTTTGTGCTTTAAATAAGAGAAAATTATTATAAAGGGTTAAAGAAAGTGAGACATGATTTTTATTAGAAATTTTATTAAGACAAAAAGAAAAAATGCATTTTACAATTAAATTTTGCTTTCATCAAAATATCCTCTGTTAGCCTTGATTATTGCAGCACAAATTTTTGGGCATTCATTGCAAAAGTTTCTCAAAGTATAAATTTGATAATTGATTCCATTCTTTTTTCAATGACTCTAACAATGCTTTTTAATTTTTTTTTTTCACTCTTCTGTCAAGTTCATCCCATGTTAATTATGGGGGTGGTTTCAAACTTTTGGACTGTAGTGTTAGTAGAACCAAACATTGCCATAATCTTTATGATAAACTTTCTCAAGTTCTTAAAATTTTCAGAAAGGTATGAAAAGAACCTTTCTTACTTCAAAATACTTTTGCTCTGAATGTAGAACCAGTCTGCATTTCTAATAGTTCCATCTGCAGGCTTTCTTCTGTCTTGGCAACACCAAATGTGAATAGTGCTAAGAATAATGCAAACTGATGTTCAAAGGGTGAGAAATCACTAAATCTTTTCTAGAATTCCTTTGACAACAATTCCAGATGATTGTCACACTTAGCAAAGCTAAATACAGCCTCGGTATTGGCAGTGTTTTTCAACTCTTTGGAAAATGAACCAAATTTTCATTTGACAACTGTGACTTCCATAAGCTTAGTTTTGTAATGAAGCACTTGATGTCATCATACAACTGAATCATAAGTTCGTTTTACCTTGTACTTTCAAATTAAGATCACTTAATTGTCCAGTAATATCCACAGCAAAAGCCAGATCTTCATTTATTTTTATTTCATCTGTGTTTTGATCTTTCATTTCCAAAACTTGTCTTAACAAATAGAATCTTTTCAGTACTTTGTGACATGGCATCTAGCTGACTTCTGTGTAGAATGGAATATTGATGAATTGATTATCCATATCTTCAAACAACTGACTGAACTGACGGTCGTTGAGAGCACAGCCTCTGATATAGTTCATTGTCTTTGTGACCAGGCTAAGCACATGATCCAATTTTAAAATCTTTGAACACAAATTATGCTGATGATTATTACAGTGAAAATATGCAAATGATGAATCTGGATGTAAGTTTTCTTTGTAACTTGGCAGCAACACCATTAAGTGTTGTCACCCATATTCCAGCACCGTCAGTAGATAAGCAGGCAAGTTTACTCAAATCAAAACTATACTCATGCAGAACTTACTCAAATCTTTCAAAGACGTCCTGGCTTATTGTAGTGTCATGGATAAGAACCGGTTCAATCATTTCTTCATAAATATTAAACTCACTCTCACTAGTCCTGATCAAGATTACAAGCTGTGCTATTCCAGTGATGTCAACAGTTTCATCAATAGCAAAAGAAAATGTTCATACGTTGATGATACGGCCTTCAACTGTTGTTTCAAAACACCTGACATTTCATCAATCTGTTCAGAAACAATGTTTCTGGTTAATGAAATGTCTTTGAATAAGTTTGCTTTCTCTGGACATACAACTTCAGCTGTTTTTACAAGACATTGCTTTATGAAATCTCCTCCTTCACTGTAAGATTTGTCACTCATGACTATCATTCGGCTGAATTCATAGCTTGCATGGTAATGGAAGCAACATTCTGTTTCTGAGTCTTTGTAAAAAAAGGTTTATCCAGTTAGCCCCCAATTCCTTGAGTTTTGAAACATGCATTGGGCCTTCATATTTATAATAAGATAAATGGTTTGTTTCATAATGTCTTTTTCGGGTTGTACTCTTTTTTGGCGTGGCAATGGAGTTGTTGCAAATTAAACAATCTTTAATTCACCATTTGTACAAAAAATACCATAATTCCCACTTTTCTTAAAGCACTCATCCTTCTTTGTTCAATTTTCTTTTTCTTATCTGGAGAAGCACTAACCATTTTAGGGTTGAAATAGTATATAAAAAAAAAATCAATCTAATTTTCAAAATTGATATGGGATCTGAAAATTACAAATACATTTAAGCTACATCTAACAGTAAAAGAGATAAAGTAATATTGATAATGCCTCTATAACTTTTCTTGGCTGACATTTCACATTTAAAAGCAAAAACCTTTGAAAGAAAGTTTTCTGTTAATGAGCTGCCATATTGTTTTCATGGTGTAATGGCTGGTGGCATTTGTTCCTGTGCTATTTTCTCAGCAAACAAAAATATTGAATATTTGCTACAATTTTTAAAATAATAGCTTAGTACTGAACTAACTTAAAGTTTGTCAATATATAATGTTGTTATTATATATTATTATTATTTTAAATAAATTTATGCAGTAAATGGTATACTTATTTGGTATTCTATTAAAATAAATCAAAATGTAAAAAAAACATGTGATTTATTTTCTTAAGTACTGTAATTTTTAAATTATAAAACCTGCAACTTTAGCTGTTAACAAAATTAGTATTCTTTGTGGGGGACGCAGGTGTGCTCATAAAGGACCATATGTTTGACATACCTGCCTTAGAAAGTGACATGAAACCCAAATTACTTTATCTTCATCTATATATTTTTTTCATTATTCTTTATTATATCAGATTTGATATTGAAATATTATAGAATATTATATGAAAATTATACCAGATTTAATATTGAATATTCCTAAATTTATTCGGATCTACATTACAAAATAAATCTCATTTTACTTTCTTCTTAATTTTTTGATATTATTAAATAAAATTTGATTATTATTAAAATAATTTGAATATTATTAAATAAAATTTGATATAATTTTTTGATATTATTAAATAAAATTTGACATATTTTTGTTTATAACTATAAAAATATGAATGTTTTAAAAAAAAACATTATTTACAATTCATCTCCATAATGAAAGATTGTACAGCTGCAACCAACAAATAGACATTGTTATTTCTCTTCTGTGAACCAAACATATATCTTTTCTTTCCTAAGTCAGTCTGACATGCAACAAGCTGTTGTTTCATATCTTTTTAAACTTTCTAGCCATTGAATATCAATTTTCCCCAAGGCTACAAATTATACATTGAACACATACTGACTTGTCAAATGTTTATTCTCCTTAGCAATTTACACAGGGCTGTTCAGTCTTTTGTTCACATATGTAACCTCAGAGAAAACCTTTAACAAACATTAAATTTAAGCACTTTTGGATTACACAGGTCATAATAAACTGGCTTTTTTATTTTTATTGAATAAAGTTAGATAAATGCTAGAATAGCAACCCAGACAGGTATACAAAAAAACTGGGTTTTAAAAGCAAGTGCTGACAACCCTGTTAGCATAGTACCCATCAAAACTGATAGGATTACTTACATATGAAGCTTTTGATAATTTTTTGATAATAGTTTTGATTATGAGTGCAAAGTAAATTCCAGAGCAGATTACATCTATGGTATCACTTCCAAAAATCTTTTCAATATGAACAAAGAAAAATAAGTGCAATTATTTTATTTGATATTTTATGCAGTTTTACATAACATTGGTCATTTGTGTGCTGACTGTCTTGAATTTAACAATATGATATTCATTAAATATAGTCCTTTTTTAATTGATATCACCCCATGCAAGGCAGTAAAGCCACTAAGACATAAGGGGTTACATGGTGTGGAAGAATTAGGAACAGAAACATTAATATTGAGCAGGAAGAGGAAAGAGTAATCAGGAGGACAGTAGATAGCGATTGATATTGCATTTAAATTTTTGCAAATTAACGGTTCGAAAGCATGGAGCCAGAAGGGAGTTCCACAAGTGAGAAGTGTGAGAAAAAAAAAGCTGTTAGCATAGAATTTACGGTTATATCTAGCCAGCACAACTGTAAACTGATGAGATCTTGATGCCAGTTTAGTACTGCACGTAAATTCAAAAACTGTAGGTATCATAGCAAAGAGCTCATCTGAACAATTACCATAAAAGTATTTCTAAAAAAGACATGGAGAGGTAACCTTACGGTGGTGGGAAAGTGACTAAAGCTGAGCTGCCAGATCAGGACCAATAATATTGCTGATTCTTCTTTGGGTTTTATTTATGGTAAATAGCAGGGGCAAATGGTAGAGTAAGAAGAGAGTTGAAGGATGCTGAGAATATCATGGACTAAACATGTGAGCAATGATGAAGTTTTAGAGAAAATAGAAACAGAAAGTACACTTATACTTAACATCTGAAAGACAGTTGAAATTTCTAGGGCACATTATGAGGAAAGAAGCCTTGGAAAATTTGCATCTCACAGGATATATTGAAGGTTTATTGATTTGTTTTCTACATTTTATCAACCCTTTACAGGTTATTTAAAGCTAGAAAATATTTATATATTGTAAGAATTTGGGGGGAAATAATAATAATTTAGTGATACAAGTCTAACTAATTAACCCATAGTTGGAGGGAAAAGAGGTGGATTCATACCTTTCCCAAGGATATTTGTGTGTAAGTGAATATAACAAAGCCAACTGAAATTGGAACTCAGGTTTCTCCAATTAATAATTCCGTGCCATTATCCGTTACACCACCTGCACATCCAAGATTCCAGCACCTGGTATTCCCAAATGGTCACCCATCTAGATACTGCCCAGGCTTGACATTGCTTAACTTTGGTGATTGTACAGGAATCAATGTTTCAATGCTTAATGGCTGTAAGCCTATATATTGAAGGCAAGAGGGACAGGAAAACAATGTGTAACCTACCTAGAGAGCTTGAGTAAATGGATGGCATAACAAGTTTTAGGAGAGATAACAAAAAGACAATATTTATTAAGAGCCACAAAGGAGAGGAAATTGTGGAGAGCCATGATTGACAACATTCTGAAGGGACACGACAGAAGAAAAAATAATGTGAGCAAAATAAAGGGTTCAGTTCAACATTCCAACCACCTGAAGAAGGCCGGAGCGTACAACGGCTGAAATGTTGTAATAAATATGGCGACAAAGATGAGGACAATAGTCTGAATAATGTAAATAGTGTACTTAATTCTTAGATTATTTATTGAATCAGCTCATGGTGAGTTCCACAGCTATAAAATATCTGTGGAAATTCCCCTATTGCCTCATTAAATATTTGAGCTTAACAACTTGAAAAAAATATTGCAATAACTATCATAAATATAAAAATTATCTTTCACAAAAACTTTGGTTAACAATTTTATTTTTCCAAAACCCAATTGTTGTTGTTGTTATTAAGTACCATATTTGTCTACACTTAAAGTACATTTTATTTATTCTTAAATCTGAAAAAAAAAAATACCTTGTGTCTAATACTGTGTATTATGGATGAGAGATGACCAAGTGCTGGTGTATGAAATTTGGTCGTCCAGGTTTTGTCAAGTCAAAATTCCAAACAATAATAAAATAAAACATACATGGCTATGCCTGTTAAATAAATCATTTGTATTTAATTCCAACAAGTCAAAAATGATTAAAAATAGTCTTTGAATTAAAGTCTTTTGGTAGTTGGTTCATAGAAAAATCTGTGCTTCAGAAAAGACTTTTAGTATTTGGTTCACAGTTAAAAAGCTGTGTTTGAGAAAAAACATTTATCATTAGTGAAAAATCACTGTCTTTGTTTTTGTTGGAAATGATTTGATTGAAGTTGCCAACTCATAATTGTCAGCTGATATTCACTGACCATCCAAGCTGTTGTTATTGTTGTAGCTGATTTGTTTGAAGTTACTGACATATGTTTCTTTCAAATATGCACTGGTGGGGGAAGGAAAAAGTGTTTTTTCTTGTGTTCAGCCTGAAGACAGCTGCATCTTTGTTAGTTAAAGTTGAAAGCTGTGGGATTTTATAAGAATTTTTTCTGAAAAGTAAGCTCAACAAAAATAGGGTTTTAGTTTTCTCTGATTGGTCAAATATTTCACATGGTGATGTTAATTTCTAACTAATAAACACTTTGATTGAAACAGTGTGTGTTGTATTGTGGAATCTTTTTGGCATGTTCGTAATATTGTCTGTTATTGAGTAGAAAATATAGTTTGGGCATTTTTTAATATGGTATGTAAGTGGGTATATATATATATATATATATATATATATTATAATAGCAGTAGAGCCTGGCGTTGCAACAGTAAAAGATAGATCAAGTATCGACCATCATAAAGACTGAAAAATAAAATTGACAAAGATTATTGTTTAAGGTTGACGGACACGCATGTCTTAATTAGTTTTTTTTTTTTTTTTTTTTTTTTTTTTTTTTACGAATTGGTAAAACTCAAACAAAAACATTGTTTTCAATTGTTATGAGTCTACCAATTGAATAGAATTTTATTATAAGCAATTGTCTTGTAAATGGAATTTTTAAAGCATTCTGAATGTAAAAATAAAGAAAAAAGTGTGCAAGACAATAAGAAACACTACCTGCCAAAAAAAAGTGAAGTTTTGTTGAAATCGGTTGAAAAATGTAGGAAATCTGATCCCATATATAAACGAACACACACACACACACACACACACACACACAAACAACCAACTTGGGTTTTATAATAAGTATAACTCGATATTAATAAGTATAACCAGATATGAGTTGTCCCCCTTTCATTAATGCCTCTTAATTGTGTTTTCAAATTGATTTTGTGCAAAAACAATTGTGTTTTTCCAATTTTTGACACTGTCAGAACCACCGCAAGGTAATTTTACATAGTCCTGTGAAGTTTTGTTGAAATCGGTTGAAAAATGTAGGAAATCCGATCCAATATATAAACGTACAGACACACACACACACACACACACAATCTGTGTTTTATAATAAGTGAGATGTATGTGGGTATAATATATTATGGGCACATGGCCGAGTGATTAGAACGTTTGCATTCTGACCATGAGACCAGGTTCAAATCTCACCATGGTCAATTTGTCAGGAAGGTGGCTTCCTGATGTTATTGGACTGGAGGGGGGGGTCAATCCCAGTGTGCAGCACCTTTGGAAAGTGCCTGTAAACCATACCACGGATTGACCCAAGCCTTGTGAGTGAAATTGGGTAGACAGAACCCTTGGGCTGGGGGGGGGATCAATAGCTGTGCTAGCACGAAGTCACAAATCATCATGGCTGAGAGCTTGAGCATGCTGGCCTTGTTCAAATTGTTGATCATGTTAGATAACATGCTCTTTTCCAGAAACTGTAACTAAGGTCTGCTCAGCATAGTTGCAGTATAAACCACAGGTGAATAAACACAAATGTGCCTGAGCAAGCGTCTGTAATAGGGATTGACTAGTCGCCCTAGTAGATTGATATCCTTGAATATGAGTGGCCAGCTATACATGTGGGTATATATAATTATATTGGAAATAGGGTTTGTTTCCTATACTGTACTTGTAGGCAAGGGCGTCAGATAAGTCTGAGTTTGTGTAACAATGATTTTTCATACATCTTTAGAAGATAAGGAGATAATTTCTTTTTTTTTTAAGTTCACTTAGTTATCTGAGTTTCATAGGAATTTTGTCTCCAGTCCATCTTTGAGTAAATTTAAGTGTCAGTGTCTTGGGCCGATTTATGTCTACAGCTGCCTTTGAATTGGGAAACATAAAAAATGATTTTAGATAGTCATAAAAGTAGTCCTTTGAAGGCTTTGGGGTGGTGCCAAATCTTCTGGAAAGACAAATGGATGTAGGAGGTGAGACCCCAGGATTATCCATACATGCAGAAAGAGGCAAGAAGTCAGAAGGATAGTGGATCCAGCCATGAGAGAAGTAGGTAGGTGACTAGAGGAGTTAGAGCTGCCCAGCATCTAGTAACAGAAGGACAAGTAGTGAGGAATCAGGAGTCACCGAGACCAGTGAAGTTAGGAAGATAGCAGCCCACCTCTCAAAGCTGAAGGAAGGATCTCATGTTTAACTGAGAAATTGTATTGTTGCTATTTGCCAACCAGAGAATTTTGAAAAAAATTGTCATTTTTTTTTTGTTGAAAGCAATCACTGCCAAGAGGACAAACCTGTGCACAGAGTGAGTTGAGTGTATATGCAAATACACTCAACTTTGGATATCATCACAGGTATAGTAAGTGACGAATGATGAATGTCATCACAAAACTTGTCAGGATTTCACCACAAAAGGCCCCACATCTGCTAAGCATAAAAATTGTTACTAGGAATAAAATATTGAAAACAAGCCAAATCATGAGTCTATTGGCACAAACTTACATCAAATTGCTTACAGTACGTCGGCAGTTAAGAGGGTAGCTCACATCATCTCACTCTACATCCTAACCTAGCATATATAACTCCCACAAGATATACTGTATATCATTAATGACTGTTATCTTTAAGAAACATTTGTTTATTACTGTATCTAGAACAAAAAAAATGATCATGAAAGCTGAAAACAATGTTAATAAACTTCAGCTGCCTTTCAGCCATTTGCATTGATGACAACAAAAGCAGCAACCTTCCTAAACTTCTAGCTCCAAAATATTAACCATCAAAAGCATCATTTTTGGTCTTAAATTACTATATTGTATTTATGGTGTTTTGAAACACTGCTAAAACATGTGTATAGGATTTTTATGAGCTTCCAATAAGATATGTATGACTCATTGTTATATTAACAGCAGTATCTCCTTTCAGTTTGTTGTTGCATTGCTTACCAGTCTAACATATATGAATGTAACCATTAAAGTCTTCATGATATTAGGAGATAAATGTAGAGAATTATTGTAAGAAACTACTGAAATATTGTATAGATTTGAGAATGATCATATTGTATCTGAGCTTGTGGAAAAATGAAATAAAACCCATAAATCAAATAATAAAACAGAATTTCATTTTCCCATAATGCAAGTTATAAAGAAACTGTAAATTGGTTGTTCCAACTCTGCACAAGGCTGACTTGAACCATTTTAACCCTTGCTATCCAAACTTGCTTCTGATCCAAAAAGGAAAACAGATATACCGAAGAGACATTGCTAACTTTATTTTACTATAGTCAGCATAAAAAGAATAAACATCCATAGTAGAAACTCTAGTTTTTGCATGCTTCTATCTCCTTTGTTTAGATATTGAACACACACCTTCCCCTAAAATACACCCAAACACACAACCTTGTTAACTTCCATAAGCTATTGTACCCAAGGTTATATTATAACATTTGTATGGTAGTTGATCCCGGTAAGACAAAACATCACAACCAGAAATACAAAGTTTTAAATCCTGTATGATAATTCTTATGACCAAAATATAAACAGCAAAACTGCTGCTGCTGTGATCAGAACCATGGCTGAAAACCAAAAAAGGTTACTGCTATACTATTAGATTTTTTTTTTTTTTCAAGTAAATCACCCTGAGCACGGCAAGAGTGCCACTAGCACACAAGGAGTTACAGAGAGTAAGAGTAAAGAGGCATGTTTGGGAAAAGGATAAAGAGAAGGGTAGGGATCAAAGCATTAGAAAATGTTGATTGACATATTTGACGATTATAGCTATCAGGGAAGCAAGTGATAGGAAGGGAATTCCACTGATGGGAGGTGCAAGATAAGAAGCTGTTGGAGTAGAAGAGATGGCTACATTTAGCTGTTTCAACAGTGACATTGTGGGACCAAGATGCCAACCTTGAGTACGCTTAAATTCATGCAGTTTGGGAAGTAGCTTCTTGGAGCAGTTGCCATGAAAGTACTTGTAGAAAAGACAAAGGGAAGCCACAGGACATCTGTGACATAGCGACTGCAGACAGGGTACCAGATCAGGACCAACAACATTGCATATCCATCTCTGGATTTTGTCGAGGACCTCAAATTAACAGCAGGAGCACCAGACCATATAGGGCAGTGGTATTCCATGCATGGACAAATGGCTGATTTGTAGATTTGAAGGATGGACTCAGGTGAGAAAACCCTTCTGGCACGACACAGAGAAACAACTTTCCTTGCAGTAGATGAAGCTATAGATTCAATGTAATTGTTCCACTTCAGGTCAGTGGACAGCATGAGACCAAGCAGGCACAGAGAGGTGCTTTTGTAGAGTTGGGCATCAGCCATCCTGATGGGAGGCAGGAAGGGTTCTCTATGGTTGGTAACTGAGAGCAGTTTCGTTTTAGAAGCATTAAAGTTTACAAGCCATTTTCTGCCCCAGTCAGCCACAGATTGGAGGTCCTTGTTGAGGTCAGGTTAGTTTTGTCAATGATGCCAGATTTACTATTGAGGCAGGAGTAGTGTCATCAGTGTAAATATCAACTTGGTAGTTGATAACATCAGGAAGATCATTGATGAAGGTCAGAAACAGTGTAAGACCCAAGATAGAGCCTTGGGGGAACACCAGCGTTTATGTGAAAGGAACTGGAAGAGAACCCGTTTAAGACGACCTTCATTTCACAGTTTGACAGGAATGATTTTATTAAGTCAAATAATCTTCCTGTAATACTGTATCCCTGAAGCTTATGAAAGAAGACCAGCATGCCAAACCCTATCCAACGCTTTATAGATATCTAAAGCTATATCATGAGCTTCTTCGTTATTGTCAAGTGCTTGGTATATAAATTCAGTTATGGTCGTAAGCACATCAACAGTGGACCAGGCAAAGCAGAAACCATATTGCTTGTCTGAGAGCAAATCATAGGATGTAAGGGGTTTAACAACTGTTTAAAGCCTTGAAAACTTTAACCAAGAGTGGTAGGAGACTTATAGGATGGTAGTTAGATGGGTCAGAAGGGTCACCAGAGTTCTTTAAGACAGGGACAACAGATGACGGCTTCCAACAGGCTGGAAAGTGAGGCAATAGTTACATAGTTTGGAGGACAACGGCTTGTATCCCATCCCCGCCACTAGCCTTATGGGAGTCTAATTTGGAGATGATGTCCAGAACCATCAATGGGGTTATGTTTATGTCACTCAACAGAGCCTCGGGTCTAGTGGGAAAATCCACTGAAGCACTGAATTCAATGAGAATTTCTGAGCAAAGCATTCAACCTTATCAGCTGAGGAAGTCAGTACCTCAAATTGATTGAATAGAAAAGGCATTGTGGATTTGCTGTTGGTCAATAATCTCTAGAAACAAGATGCAATATATTATTTCATTTTTCCAGCAAATAGCTTTGCTTCATTGAGGACATGCTTGCACCCATGGGCAGAGACAAAGAGACATCTGTTGCGATCAGATATGTTGCTACGGTACTGACGGAAGAAGTGATTCCTATGGGCAATAGCAGCTGAGCAAGCAGCGGTAAACCAAGGAGATGAGATGATTTAACTTTGTATTTTCCTGCAGGGATGAAAGCCTCGATTCCAGCTTTTACTCAGGAGGAGACGTCATATGCGCATTTTCGAGTGGGGAGATTAAAAACCACATTCCAGGTGAAATCACAAAGTAAATCACAAAAGAAGTCCCAGTCTGCTCATTGATAACAGAAAGATATTTGAATCTAGGTAAATTGCTTGAAATCAATTGCTCGACAATCTCACAACATGTCAACAGAGCTGGATATAAAGGGAGCCACAACACTCAACTTTAGCAGTCCTGATTTTTTTTTTCTATTTCTATTTCAGTAATTTTTGAGATCTCGAACACTACCCAGTGAGTGAAATCAAGGGTTCAGTTCGACATTCCAACCACCTGAAGAAGGCCAGAGCGTACAATGGCCGAAACGTTGTAATAAATATCGCGACAAAGATGAGGACAATAGTTCGAATAATGTAAATAGTGTACATAATACCTCATCTCAGAAATATAGACAGATACTGAAGGGCCGAAACATTGTGATAAATATGGCAACAAAGATGAGGACAATAGTCCGAATAATGTAAATAGTGTACATAATACCTCACCTCAGAAATATAGACAGATACTGAAGGGCTGAAACGTTGTGATAAATATGGCGACAAAGATGAGGACAGTAGTCCGAATAATGTAAATAGAGTACTGCAGAAGTTGGATCGAATGCCACAGATGTTGGAAAAGGAAATGTTAAAAGGCTTAGGCGATTTTTTAGAGCTGCTTTAGGTTTATTTTTTATGATGGTTTAAGGTCAATTTGAATGATGTTGATCATGAAAAAGCCTTAAGTAATAGTAGCAGAAGGTCATCATATGTGACATGGACAGAAAGGAAACGGCACAGACTGCAGAAGCTAAATGTTATAGAATATGTGAAGATGTACAATAATAGGGCAACTACCCAGTATTTTGATGAATCACCAACCAAGAAAATGGTAAGAAATTGGAGGAAAGAGGAAGAACAGCTGAAATCTGCTAGACATAGCAAACACTGACTCCATAGGGGAATTGTAAAGTTGCCTGGACGAGAAGAATTAAAAACTAAATATATGATATAACATACTAAACATTTTTTCTACAAAATAACTTTGTAAAAGAAAGGGGCATCTTATATGAGGGTGTATGTTATGCAACTGCAAATACAGAAATTCTTAAGTCAATGATTGAATAAACTCCTCCTGAGTTCCACAGCTATAAAATACCTGTGGAAATTCTGTGAGTGCCTTGTGAAATATTAAGCTTAACAATTTTAACCAAATATTTCAATAACAGTCATAAATATGAATGCAGGTCATTATTTAAAGAAGTAAGAGGGTACAAATAAAAAGATTTAAAAATTGACATGGTTTTTCATTTCACTAAAGCAGATGTTAAATGTATGTGAGTGTTATCACCTTCTCTATCCTTTCTTTCTTTCATACTTATTATATATGCTTTCTTTTTCTTATTAAAACCAACAGCATCTCTGATATATATTTTCCTTGTCTGTTCTCACAATCAAAATGGAATAGCCCATTATTTTTCTGAGGTAATGGCAAGAAACAACACATGAACTTACTAAAGAAGAAGATGAATTATATGATAAGATCGTTTATCTCTCCAGTTTTCTTTATGAGTTTTCCTCCTTTTTTTTTTTTGTTTTGCAGGCAGAGAATATACTACGAGTCACTCATGGATCTGATCATGCACTTTACCAGCTTCTGGTTGATTTTCAACAACAATGTTGTCTGCTTTTAGGCAATTCAGTTCATTTTCTGGAGCAAGGCAAACATAAATCATGACATTTGATTTTACAAATTAACTCCCCCCCCACAACAAAAATTTGTATCATTAAAAAGACTTTATTTTGAATAACTTGTAACTATCCTTGTCTTCTTTTCTTAATTCTTAAATTATCTCAGGACAAAAGTCACCATTCTAAAGTGCTGATTTTTACAAACCAAATGATGGTGTGACAGGGCTTTTACGTTAGATGGTGTGGTAAGTTCAATCCTTGATTGAGGAGGGAAAAAATTTTGTCAATAATTTCACCTTGAATAATGATAAAAAATAGTCTAAAATGATACTGATATTAATTTTTGTTATATATGTTATTTTTTACTCAATACAAGGCCCAAGAGTCACTCAAGGTAGAGGGTAACTGAATGAGGTTTTTGTAAGAAGTGTACAAGTTTGTATCAAAGAATATCAGGACTGTTGCTATGGTGATAGAACTAAAGTATGCAGAGTGAAGCCACTTGGAACAGATTGATCTTCATTGTGCATGCACACTAAGTTATAACATTCTTGCTCACTTACATTGTTTAGAATAATATTTGGAAGGAAAATGTGTAGAGTGTGGTAGACTCACTAACTCACAGATGTTCCATCAGTGACCATTTCTTATGCAGTAGTTTTTGGCAAAAACAACATTCCCCTGATCTGACACCCACCATATTCCCAAAATCCTACTTGCAGCTTATTCATCTTCAAAAATCAAATTTCACTTGAAAGGAACAAGATTTAAAGATGTCAAGGAAATTTAAGAGAATATTAGAGAGCTGCTTGCTATCCCAAAAAAGGAGTTCCAGGAATGCTTCCATCAGTGGAAATGATGCTGGATAAAGTGTCTGACTTCAGAAGGGGATTACTTTGAAGGAGATTAAATGCTGAATTGATATGTGTTATAGTTTTCTTTTTATAACCCCAGTGCTGATACTTTTTGATCAGACCTCATATATTATGAAGGTATGTAGGATAGATAACAGCTGATCCTAGACTTGAAGAAGTTAAGATTGTAGTGATCAGGGAAGCATCCACATGGGAGTCTGTTCTACCACATAACATTTCTGGAGAAGAAACTGCCTAAGAGTATCAGAGTAGTGAGAGTTTAGCAACATTTTATCAGCGAGGAATTATAAGCTGGGAAATGATTCTCCTCCATTATTGATAAAAAAAAAAATAATACTTGCATTATTTACATTATTCGGACTGTTATCCTCATCTTCGTTGCCATATCCACAACATTTTGGCTGTTGTACACTCTGGCCTTCTTTATTTCATCCACGCAGGTAGATTGTTCTAGTTCCTCATGCCATGCCTCTTTGAGTTAAAGGAAAATAACTTAAACATCTGCAAGAGGCATAGCACATGGAAGTAGAACTGTCTACCTCGGTTGACGAAATAAAGGGTTCAGTTCAAAATTTCAATCACCTGAAGAAGGCCGAAGCGTATAACGGTCGAAACGTTGTAAATATGGCAATGAAGATGAAGATAACAGTATGAATAATGTAAATAATGCCAGTAATCATAATACCTTCTTCTGGTTTCTTGATATCAGTAGTTTCAGTCTATTGAAAAACATTGTTTTTCTTTCTTGTTTTCCAGTTTATTTTGAAAGCCTTTTTCCAATTTACCAGCACCTTCACCATCCTGGGTAAGACGATAAACTAAGTCCAGCAGCAAGGTCAGGAGGTTTTGAGGAGCATGGAACCTCCTCTTAATTGCTTGTGTTCCCAGGTCCACCCTCACCCGGGTTGGTAGCACCTGTTAGGGTCCCAGATATGGGCAAATAGTTAACTCCGAAACTGGGGTAAAACGATGAAAGTGTAAAAATAGGTTTTAATACTAGAAATACTTTGAAAAAAACTATTACCAGCAATACATTTTTGAAAAAAAAATATTACCAACAATATGGTTTTGAGAAATAAATATTACTAGCAATACATTTTTGAAAAAAAATATTACCAGCTATAGATTTTTAAAAGAAAAAAATATTACCAGAAATAGATTTTTGAAGGAAAAAATATTACCAGCAATAAAAATTTTGTTGACATTAAATAACCGATTGAGGTTGATATGCCATAAAAAACCCAAACCAAACCAGTGCCTTCATAAAGTGTCACAAGAGGAATTCCTCTCAGTTGTTGATTTCTGGACTGATGGAAGAGGTGGGGGGAAAGCCTGAAGAAAAACCACATGTTAATAAGGTATTAAGTATTAGAGTAAATATAAACTTTTAGTGTAGAAATGGTATGATAAGAAACAATGATATTTATTGGAAAATTCTATGGGTGAGGGTGTGGAGGAGATGGTAAAATTCACTAAAAGAAATTGTATTTGATTATTTTATTTTTACCAAGAAATTTAGCATTTCCAAAAGTACCTTTATACTTTTGGATTTTGGCAAAACTTCTAACTCAACACCCACACACCAAAAAGTAATTCCCCATCACTTAATAATCTCCTCCCTAATAAAGAGAAATATAATACATATATTGTTTCCTAGCACACAACAATAGAATCACAATTTACGAGCATCATGGGCAACATCCCGAATTTTCCAATTTTGTTGCAGCTGTAATTGATCAGGAGTTACTTGAGCTGTAACCCACACACACTCTCTCTCCCATATCTGTCTTTCTTCTTCTTCTCAGTCGCTAGCTTCACTAGTTTTGTTGAGTAATACTAACCTTATGGGCCATTTTCTTTCCCGCCTTTGTTGGAGCAGATGTATCTTCTGGAAAGAGTTCATTTGGGTTCCCCAAAATTTTATGATATTTGTGACTGACAGTGAAGTCTTGTGTGGACGACTATGTATATTGTGTGCTGTAGTTAAGAATGAATAATTCTCAACTGAGGGACAACATAACTTTTGTCTTTTTGCATCCAACAGAAATGTCTGGAATAAGATTTCCTTCAATAAAATGCACAACAATTGATAAATCTAAAAATTGAATATAAAAAAAAATGGTTCAATAAAATGTCTCTGTTACTTACAACAAAATAAACTTCTCTACTGCCGGATGGTGATTTGAGAAATATAGTAACAAACACTAAATAACAAACAAGTTAACCCTCACTCAATCCATCTGTTTATATGTGTGTCTATGTTTGGTATATATATATATATATATATATATATATATATATATATATATATATATATATATATGAGGTATTAATATTTTAACATTATTTTGAGTTGTAATCATAATTGAATCATTTATAATCATATATATTTCATTCTGGGGTCATCAGGGGACTAGTGTATCAATCAGGAGGTTTTAATATTATTTTGATTTTTAATCATAATTGAATAATTTATAATCATATTTATTTCATTCTCAGCTCCTCAGAGGACTAGTGTATCAAACAGGAAGTTTTAACATTTTAACATTATTTTGAGTTGTAATCATAATTTAATTATTTATAATGATAGTTCATTCTACTCTGACTGATGTGGGAAGCTTGAAATACTTGCTTGACCATTTATCCTCAAGTATTTTTCTATCATTTATTTCTCTGAAGACATTCAAAACTTCCTGCAATGTTTCCAACTAATGTGACTTTTTAAAAATCAAATTTATATTCTTCTGTAATATTTGCAGTACAGTCATATTGAAAATCTGGGAACACACAGAATCTTTTATGTATAAATTCTTGGTAATTTTTTTTTTCTCTACATTTTGTTTTTATAGGAATGCTTGCCTTTTTGGAGAGATGTGGGAATCTGTTTATAGAAACAGAAAGATTTGTGTGTCAACTAATAAACAAATACAAATTGAATTTCTGGTAAACCAGCATTCAATATAAATTTAAGTAATTATTACAATTTAACCAATTATTACAGTTAAACTTTCTATAATTATTGCAGCAGTTATTGAATTTATTAAAAGGTTTCCTTGTAAAAAAAACAAAAAACAGTAAAAATCATTAAAATATATACTTGAAAAATTTTGTAAAAATTCTGTTTTATTGTGAATAAGTTTTTAAAGTTTCTTTGCAGATTTAAAATGAACTTCTTTGCAAAATCCCTATCCATCTGAGATCAAAATCTATGCTCCAAGTGGGAATATTTGAAAGAAAATAAAATGTTGTTTGGAAACATGCGCGAACTTGGATCTTCCTGTATGCAAGAACACAAGTGTCAAAATGACACTTTTTCTATTGACACTGCTATCATTTTATCGATGCTTCATTCAACAATGTTTAATGTATTAAAAACCGATGATTAGACTTGTAATAAAACCTAAACATATGAAAGTGAATTTATACATTTTTTTTTCTTTAGAATTGACAGCAAAAGTAATAAACACTATTTATTAAATTGTTTATCTACATTATTGTTTATTGGAATGGTTGGCAAAACATCAACTAATTGCCAGTTGATTCAAATTTTATAAAATGGTAAATAATAAGGATTTCCTTATAACTGGTTCACATATTTTAATAATTTATTTAGTAAATGTTTATAAATTTATGAATAAAAAATTTTCATATTTATTTCTTTATAAATTGGTAAATGATAAATATTGCATTACATAAATTTTAATTGTATTTGTTTTTAGAATGTTGTAAATATAAAATTATTCTTATAAATAAACAATCTAATAAATAGTGTTTAATATTTTTGTTGTAAATTCTCAAGAACAAAAATAATGTATAAATTCACCTTCATCTTGTTTAGGTTTTATTGCAATTCTAATCATTGCTTTTTACAAGCATAAACATTGCTGAGGAGTGAAAGTAATTAAAATAAATCGCAGTGTCAATGGAAAAAGTGTCCTTTTGAAACTTTGTTTTTGCAAGCACAAAGCTCTAAGTATGGTAAAACATGTTTAATTTTATGTATTGAATTATAATGTAGGCTCACAGTATATAAAATGAAAGACTAGCATATTTTCTAAGATTTTAAAGAATGTTTTAAAATCATTTTTATTTTTTCTGCTTTTTATTGTGACTGAAATGTTATTAAATATTGATTTTTTTTTTAAATTTTTATATTGTAAGTGTTGGGTCA